TACTAATTACAGATGATTAATTTATTTATCACAGCTTTCTTGAAGCATTTAAGCTTTTCCTGCAAAACCAAACTGTGAAAACGTAATAATTGACATAAATCACTTCTCAATACTTATTTTGTCCAAATAAAATAAAATCTTGACCGACTTAAGAACATAGAGGTTCTATTTATGAGCCCAAAAGCATAAGTAGGAGTTTACTACTCAATATATACATTGGTTCAACTCTTGTTGTCTCCTTATTAAGTTACACTGCCCTTTAAATTTAAGAATATAACAAATAGGACCTTTGCTTTATCTGAATGAGTGACCGTTGGTGTTTTGTGCAGGACTAAATCACTAAACTAAAGTTTCACATGGCATGACGACTAGAATTCTCCAAAGGTGGTTTGTACTGTTGGGTCAAATAGGTCAACTCATCCAAACATTTTTATGGGGAACGGGAGATACAGTAAACCACCATTTCAGCCAACAGAGCTACTCCATTTCATTTGAATTACATAATAACCCTAATGACTAGAATTGCAAACGGATGCAGCAGATCAATCTCTCCCTTATTAATTAATTGTAAAGGAATTGATTGCACAAGTACTTTTGACATTAATTGTCTCCTTTCCCATACAAGGTTTAGTGAAATAATCACATTCCAACATGCCTTTTTTTTTTTTGATGACAAGGAAACCCGCAGCCGCTACCCTTTGGGTGCGCACAGGGTAAAACCCCCGCTCCTATGCAATAGCTCGCAAACCACATAGGAGAGGTAAACCGCACTAGGCAAGCCTGGTGCGACGAGCTCGACCCAGAAGGCAAACCCCTTGCTTTCGCTAGCAAGGGGTTTCGAACTTGAGACCTCCAACATGGAAGTCCCAAGCCCAAAATGCAGAAGGGGCAATATCTTTTCCATCAATCGATCAATTGACGGCTCTCTTGCTCATTGCACAATCGGTGTGAACTGGAAATCCAGAAATCTTTGCAACCCCTTTCATCTAAAGTTTTACCTGCAGAAGATCCAACATGCCTTACCTCTACAACTTAATGCCTACTTCCTACTTCAATAACAATCACTTATTATCCATTTTTGTCTATCCACAATTTATAACACGTGCTGCAAATCTCTCCAACCTTTTCCTCTTTACATTCAGTTTTTTGTAGGCATACAATACCACTTGTCCTTTCTTTTAAGGTAATACAGGAATCCTACCAAAGAGCCTATGTTCAACCAGTGTTTAGGCAGAGTCTGCTTCATCGCTTAAAGTTAGCAATACCGACAAGACTTATATTCAATGTCTTTTTTGTAACAATATCACAGAAGAAGGAATTTATTGTCCCAGGCATCATTTCATCCGTGGTAATCCAAGCATTACTGCTTGTCAAGGAAGAATTGCTAAAGTTTATGTTTTTGTATTGATTTTGCTTGTACTGTGAAGAATTTTATGATATCTACATTAGTCTTTAAATTGAACATTTGCTTATATATATTGTCGTTGTGGAAGGTTTATTTTGGTCTTCCTTTAAAAATTGTGCTTCACACTTCGCTTGAGTGAAGCAAGGCCTTGTTGCTTTTTTCCGCTTCACGCTCCCTTGAACACTAGTTTGAACTACCTACTTGGACAATCGCCTTTTATCATCATCTGTCCATGATGGTCGGAATCATTTCCTATCTTGCACCACACCGGGGGTGTCAATTGTTCATGATGTAGGAATCCTAGTTCATGTCCAGGTGACAATGTGATGGAATCCTATCCCCTTTTTAGCTAGTTTTACACTGACGGTCAACCTCAATGGGAAATTGTAGGTTCACCACTACTTTTTTTTTGAAACTTGTAACTTTGCCTATATATGTTAGAATCCGAATCTTACAAGAGTTGTAGTAGCCCCATATTTACAAAGTACTACCTACATCTATGATTCTATGATCCTATGTCTATAATGAGTCTAAAACATCAATAATAGAGACAGGATTATTTAAAAGTAACTGATTACACCAAAAACACAATAGCAAGATGCAATTAAGCTTAATTTGTTGCATACTGTTCTCTATGCTCTCAAAACACCTAGAATTCCTCTCCTTCCATATTGTCCACCAAATGCTTGTTGGGACTATCCTCCCCCTGCCTCTATTCTTGGCCAACAACCCAGCTTGTTCCCAGCTTTTGCCTCTGTAATTTTCCTAGGCATGCTATTCCTCTAGTTGTCTTGTGATTCTACAATGTAGGAATAGATGATTCACAGTTTCTACCTGCTCCCCACACAAGAAGCACCTGGGGCTTAAAATTATCCCTCTTTTCATTAGGTTCTCTTGGGTAAGCACGGCCTCCTTTGTCAAAAGCCACACAAAGCATGCCACTTTATATGGTATTTTGGTTTTCCAAATGTTCTTCCATGGCCAACTGCTTGGCTGTTGGTTGTGGTTCATTTTCCTGTACGCTTTGCTCACTTTGTATGTGCCTTTCTCATCCCCCTTCCACCATAGTTCATCTTCATCTGTTCCCAACCCACTGAATTGCTCAATCTTGTTGATGAAATCTGTCATTCTTGGTATTTCCCAATCATTGAATTGCCTTTTGAAGTTGAATCTCCATCCCTCTTTTGTCCATAATTCTGCCATGGTACTCTATTGGTGTAGTACTAATGAGTAGATATCTGAAAATTACCTTTCTAAGTTGTCTTCTTCATGCCATTCATCTTTCCAGAACCTAGTTTTATCCCCATTGTTCACCTTGATCTTGAAGAAGCACTTCAGTTCATTCCAGAGATCTCTAATGGATCTCCATAAGTTAACTCCATAAGGAGTTGTAATTTCCTTAGTCATCCATATGTCTTCCTCCTCATACTTAGCTTTTATGACTCTTCCCTATAGTGTCTCTTTATCATTGGCATACTTCCATAGCCATTTCATTGTTACTATGAGTATCCAAATTCTTTATCCCCAGACCTCCAAAGTTCTTGTCAATTATCAGAGATTCCCATTTGAACAAGTGGTAACTTTTCCCGTCTTTATTTCCTTGCCACAAAAACTTCTTCCTGATTCTGTACGACCTACTAATGATTATTGCTGGTATAGGGAACAAAGACATCATATAAGTTGGCAAGGAATCTAACACGGAGTTGATGAGGGTTAATCTACCCCCTAGTGATAAGTACTGTCTTTTCCCCCTTGCCAATTTCTTCTCACATTTTTCAACCACATTGTTCCAAATTTCGTTAGACTTTGAGTTTGCTCCTAAAGGCATACCCAAGTACATTGTTGGCAAACTACCAATCTCTCCTCCCAGAATTGCATTTAGGGATTGCATGGTTGTGACCTCATTGATCAGATAAAGAAAACTCTTTCCCCAATTGATGTGCAATCCAGACATCCCTTCAAAGAGAACCAATATCACCCTCAAAATTTTGATTTGATCTTCATCTGCATCACAAAAAATGAGGGTATCATCTACATACTGCAAATGAGTCACCTCTAGATTATCCCTTCCTTCTTTAGCTACATTGAAACCTCTCAACCACCCATTCATATTTGTTGTTTTGACTATGCTGTTGAGACCTTCCATTGCTAATAAAAATAACAATGGTGACAAAGGGTCACCTTGCCTTAGACCCTTTTGTGCCTTGAAGAACCTTGTTGGTGAGTCATTGATGATAATTGAAAAACTCACAGTGGATATGCAAAATTTTACCCAATTTATCCACTTTTTTCCAAACCCCATCCTATTTAGCACTCCCAATAGATAGGCCCAATTGACATGGTCATAGGCTTTCTCTATGTCAAGTTTGCAAAGAATCCCTGGTTTTCCTTGCTTCTGTCTGGATCCCACTGCTTCATTAGCTACCAAAACCGCATCCATGATTTGCCTTCCTTCAATAAAGGCCATTTGTTGTGAGTCCACCAGTTTTGCCATCACTCCTTTTAACCTCTCTGTGAGTACTTTAGAGAAGATTTTGTATATACTACCTATCAAACTTATTGGCCTGAAATCCCTTAGCTTTTTGGCACCTTTCTTCTTTGGAATAAGTGTAATAAAGGTAGCATTGAAGCTCCTTTCAAACATGTCCTTCTCATGAAAATTATGAAAGGCATTCATTATATCATATTTCACCACTTCCCAGCATTTGATAAAGAATCCGATGGTAAAACCATCAGGCCCTGGTGCCTTGTCTGTAGTGCACATCTTTACACATCTCAACACCTCTTCTTCCTCAAAACTTCCTTGCATCCTCTCCTTTTCCACTGTTGATAGAACTAGACAGTTTGGAAACTGGTAAGCGGGTTTCCAATGAACTGTTTCTGTATATAGACTTTGATAAAATTCCACTATCTCCCCTTCAATTCTAGCATTCTCCTGAATTATTTCTCCTTGCACACTAAATATGCCCATACACAAAAAAGGGTCATCTAATGAATAAACACCAAAATAAAGCTCTAGTATCAAGCCAAAAAAAAGAAGAAAAAAATTGCCCTATTAGGGGGACTACAAACATATACTACAGCTTTTTTTATTTCCTCCACTTTCTTCTGCAATACCAAAGACATTCTTGATGAGTATACAAGACATTCTTGGTGAATATTCTCCCAATTCCTACCATAACTATATCACACCAACCAAAACAAAAGAGGCATACAAATTAAGTTTTTGACTGAAAAAGTAAATGAAAGAACCCTAGTTTCTACAAGCCATTAAAATTTAGTTTTTGCTACGGATTTTTTTTATTTCCTCCACTTACTTCTCTAATACCAAAGACATTCTTGACGAGTATACAAGACATTCCTGGTGAGTTATCTCCCAATTCCTACCATAACTATATCACACCAACCGCAACAAAAAAAGGCATAAAAATATGTTTTTGACTGAAAGAGTAAAGGAATAAACCCTAATTTCTACAAGCCCATAAAAAAATTTAAGTTTTTGACTGAAACCCTAGTTTCTACAAACCTTTCCAATTGAGCAAAAAATATGCCGAAATCTTAAATTATTTAAACACATAAGAGTTGATTTAGATACCGTATTCGCTTCGAGGACGTTTTGCGACGAATGGAGCAAGAGACGCCGGCGCCGCCGGAGCCGCCTGCTGCTGCCCACCGCTGGTGTATCTCCAGTAAGCATCCGCCATGTTACTCCACCGAGAGAGAAGTATAGTCGATTTCTACTACAATCGACGAAGAGAAGGGAAAGTAGTGCCCACTTTCTGCAAATCCGATAATTTAAGGAGAGACTGACTAAACGAGAGAACGATGAATTGAAGAGCAAAATGAGAAATTTTCTAAAAATGAAAACTTATTTATATATGGGAGATTGTGTTCCCCTCAATCCAAAATTAATTCTAAATATCAAATTATTAAAAAAAAATAGAAGTATAATGCAAGGTTTATTTTATAAGAAGTACTTTTTAACTACGGCGTGCAAATACCGAATTGATAAATCGAACCAAAAAAAGTGTTATTGGTTTATTGTTATTGGGTTATTGGATTAACGATTTTTTAATGGTTTGATGAAAAAATATTATCGGGTTATCGATTCGGTATTGATTTTTAATATTGGATTATTAGATCGATAAACCAATAACTCATTAAGACTAGAAATTTATTAGATTTACTTGTACATAAATATTATATATTAATCTCAATACCTTACTAGTTACTGTCTTTATCCTTTAGACTTCAATTCACACTTCAAAGTGACTTTTAGTTCACAACTTCACATTATACAAAACGTCAAAATCTAAAGTAAGAATCATATTCCTCTTTATTTTTCTTTGTGTTACACTTGTATAGTTTTTTCATTACATTATTGTGTTGTCGCGTCAAATTTATTAGAGAAGTCATATATTTATTTTATAAGTAATTTCGTATTGGTTAAATGAAAATCGAATCGTTAAGGACCAAAATCGATAAAAAATTTCTTATTGGTTTAACATATTGAAAAATCGAAAATCGATAAACCGAATTGATAATACATGAAATCAAACCGAACCGACAGATACACACCCGTACTTTTAACTTCTTACAAAATTTTGATTTATATATGGGAGATCGTTGAACGTGCATTATGTGCTTATATATAAACTTTTTATATTAAAAAAATTATACTATTTAGTAATTTATATTTATAATTTTTAATATTTAATTATTTGTTTGGTACAAATGATCGATAAAGTATAATATATTTTTAAAGAGAACTTACCAAACTAAGCTAACATTTAGTAGTTAATTGGAAAATATGTTATAAATTGTGTTCCAAATTTAATATACAACATTAAGTTGGATTTGAAAATTTCATGAAAACAATAATTTTCCCAATGAACTGAAAAAAAAAATCATAAAGAAGTGAATTATTTTGTATAGCCAAACGAGTCCTTAATGACCCAACAATATAGCATTTCACACGAAATACACTTTAAGCACAATTTAATTAACAATTACAAGTTATAGTCAAAGCCTAAAATTCACCCCACTCTCTGTCTCTTGTGTTTCTTCTTTTCTTCTCATCTTCTTACTTCTTCAACCTACTCTAGCTTTGAAGATGAGGGGTGTACCACCAATGACTAATGCATATAAGTTAAAGTATGTTATCTAATGTCAATTTGTATGATAATTTTATCAAACATAAAAATATAGAATTAATGCACTAACGTATAAATATGAATTAACTGACTATACTAAATAAAATTTGCTTTGTGGAGTGATGGTTTTGAACCAGCATCCTCACACCAGAAGTTTGTAACGCTTAAACCAGCGCACCCAAATAGTGTTAAGGTCTTTGGATGCCTAATAAAATATAGTATGTCATGTCTCAAGGTGTGTGTCTATATATATATAATTTTCTGAAGTTAACGGGTGCACACGTGGATCCGCCTCTGACGACAACCACCATAGACTCTCTCCTTTTTTCCTTCTCATACTACTGAAGTGAACACCAACATATCACCTTTTTCTTCTTTTTTCGTGATTTCATAATGGTACACAATATTTTTTTGTATCAAGTATGACCGTTCTTTAGTCCTCTTCATTTATATGTTGTGTAATTAGTATATAATAAATGTATAATATGTATATAATTAATGTATAGTTTATACACTTCGTATACTTGTGTCAGTTGATCCTTCAACGTCTACACCAATTAAATTAGAAACTTAATTCGAAAGGCGACAGTAGGCTCGAGGAGGATCAAAAGATTAATTATACAATTATTGTACACAAATTATACAAAAAATTAAGAGTGAAAGATTATATAGTGGATATGGACAAATATGTATATACATTATCTGAAAAGTGCATCACACTGTATATAATGCATCTACCATTTTTAGTGCTCGTACATTTATATACACTTTGTAGAAGAAGTGTATAACTAGTGTATATTATATACATGTAATGCATATACAACTTATAACATGTAGTTCAGCAAAAAAAAAAAAACTTATAACTTGTATATAAAGTGAATAATTAATATATCTTGTTTATAATCGTATAATCTTTCTCGTACGGGTATTCTCAATCTCACTCGTTCTTTCTTTTTCTTCTTTTTCTCTTTAACATAAGATATCAAATAATGTGTGGTTTTCTTAGTAGTGATCAAATGATGATTCATATAATTTTTTTCTAGTCCTAGCTTCTTTTCGAGAATTAGTTCAAAATTAAGAACATACAACTAAGTTTTATTATTTCATGGAAGAAGAAAGAAAGAAAGTGCATGAGAAAGAAAATGGAACAATTCGTTGTGGAAGAGTTTCGAAATTCAAATTTTAGAATTTGACATGTCGTAAATATGAATTGTTTCGAGTGAATTAATAATATATCAAAAGAATCAAAACTTCGAGAAAAGTTCATGTCTACAATGTGGGGCTGTTTAAAGGAGCTTCGAGTTGGTTGGGATTAAGAGAAAAAATAGTTCGTTGAGGAAGATGAACGGTTGTAATGTATGATATTGTATAAACAATGTATATATACATTTTTGAAACATAGTTATACATTATATATACATGATTATACACTATTTATATATTTCGATACATATATACATGTGTCCTTTTCGTTAAATTTGTTTTGTCGCATATACAATTAGGTAAGAAGCCCAATTCTTTAAGTGCTCTATGACCTTAAAGTTCATATATGGTCATAAAGTCTGTTAAGATGATTTGCAAAACTTAGGATTATTTTTTAGCAGTTGATGTTTAGCTTTTGTCTCTGTTTTAAAATTTTGTGCCAAAAATAACCTCCGTTACATATCTAAAGAATAAAAAATAAAGCAACTTTCACATATAGCAAACACAAAAATCATATATGTATACTATAGTTATAATTGGAGTAATTGCGCTTCATAGCAAACATAAATATGTATATTTCTCTATACATATACAAAGAAAGCAATTGTATATAATATGTTTTTGTTTCAGTATACATATACAAAAGATCAATTGTATAATCTGCGTTTGCATAAAAGCGAGAAAGAGAGAAAGGCAAAAGAGAACTGGGCAGGGAAATATTTGTATTGTATAATTAATAAGTAGTATAGGACGAAGATATATGTATTTGCATGTGTATATATAATTTTCTCTCGCTTTATACAAACAAAACGCAATTTATACATTTCTATTGTATAAGCGAGAGAGGCGAGGGAAAGACTGGCGAGCGAGATCTGGGAGAGTGGCGAGCGAGATCTGGGAAAGGGGAGAGAGGGGAACAAAAATATATGTATATATATAATTTTCTCTCGCTTTATACAAACACAAACGCATTTTATACATTTAGCGTTTGTATAAAAAGCGAGAGAGGCGAGGGAGAGAACGAGAGTGGCGAGCGAGATTCACAAGGAGAGAGACGAAATAGCAACAGTTTGCTATGGGGTACAATTAAATCAAACTATGTTTATAGCATTTAATTTGAATTAATAGTTTGCTATTATATACAATTTTCCCTAAAAAATAACGTTTGTACAAGTCAGGCAGGCAAGGCACGATGTTGAATATAATCTCTATTCTATTTAATTTTAAATTTTATTGTTGACAAAATTAGTCGGTATTGTTCAACCTATCACAAATTATGCTGAATTGATTAGATTTGATACTATTTTCATTCTACTTATTTTGTTAATTATTCATAAAATTTTACCAAATTGACAAAATATGCTTGTATTCACACAGCTAATTTTAAATAATGATTTACCATAATGATCTGTTGGCCTATTAACAATTGAACTGGAGCCATATCTTATCTAAATTCTTATTCTCACCCCTACAAGGTCTTTAAATAAACTGAAATGTTTAATAGGGAAACTTTAGAAACTAAAGTCATGATAGGATGTGTGATATTACGATAGAAGAATATAAATTTATCTATGCGAAAAAATTAGATAAAATAGCCATTATATAATTCAAAATTTCTTACCAAAATAACTCAAGTATCACTTATTATTTTAAAAATCATCTTAGTATCACATACTTTTAAGATAAAATTACAATTTATCCCTTAAAAGTTTATAATTATAGAAATCCCTCAAACGGATACAATAATATAAGCGCTGATACATTAATCTAATGCGCGAGATACATTAATCGTTAAGTAAGATACACTACATTTTTATACATGATACACTAATCTAAATGCGCGAGATACACTAATCTGATGCGCGAGATACACTAATTTTGATGCGCGAAAATGAGGGATTTTTGGATATTTGTAAAACTTATAGGGGAATAATGGTAATAAGTAAACTAAAAGGTGGGATTTCTGTAATTTTTCCTTAATAATATGAAGTACTGCAATATATAAATATGTATATACAATATATATATATATATATATATATATATACACAATTATATATATCATATATATATACACAATTATACACTAGTAATATAATATTGATACATTACATATAATCATATTTGTTGAATCTTTTTTTTTTTGTTGCCTATACATTTATTTAATAACCCCAACTTATGCCGGCAAAAAGAATCTTGAGGAAACTAAGCAAATACCCTATAAAAGTAAAATAATTACAAACATATATTCATTTACATTCATACCCCACTAAATAATTACACAATACACCTCTCAACTAATTTCGCTTAACTGATACTAAATCAATATTATATACTATATTGATATCATTAAGGTTGATAATTTCACTTAATTGATACTATATATTTATACTCTTATAGTATCACCGACTAATGAGTAATTTCTGAACAAGAAATCTTAATGATACCACAACAATATAACATATACTCTTATAGTATCATTGACTAATGAGTAATTTCTGAACAAGAA